CCGCGTCTGCCCAGCGCCCCCCTCTCGTGTGGCGGGCCCCCGCCCCCACCCCCGCCCCCTGTCCCACCTCCACCCACGGGGGCCACACCGCCTCCCCCACCCCCACTGCCAGCTGGAGGCGCCCAGGGCAGCCACGACGAGAGCTCCGTGTCAGGGCTGGCCGCTGCCCTGGCCGGGGCCAAGCTGAGAAGAGTCCAGCGGGTAAGTGTCCCTGTGGCACAGGCGGGGTGGGGCAGAGACCAGTCTCTGACTGCCCAGGGGACAGAGCAGCCCCTCACCTGTGAGACGCCGAGCAAAGTGCTGCCCGCCCCCCACCAAGGCAGCGCCTGTGCTGGACGCCTTAAGCGAGAACCGTGTGGGACGGCGCTGTGGGAACCGTGAGCCGACCCTCACGTTGAACTTCACAAGCCGGGCAAGAGCTGTTTCCCCCTTTACAGATGAGGAAACTGAGGCACCAGTGTTTAAACGACTTGTTCAAGTCCCAGTGTGTCAGTCGCAGAGTTGGGACTCGGGCCCCGCGTCTCGTGAATTTAAGTCCACCGTTCCTCCCATGTCGTGTTGCAGGCGTCACTGCCCTCGGGCCCAGCTTCCCTCCCTGGCCCTTCCCCACGCGTCCTGGAAGGCGGACCCTCCCATCGGACCCTCCCGTCGAGGCGGGCGTGGTTCTCACGCCTCTGATGGAGAGTCGGGCTTCCCAGGAGTTCTGTCCTCCCCCCGTGCCACGCTGGTCCTAGCAAGCGTAGCCGATGGACCTGGGGAGTATCTGCTAACCGACCGGCCAGGCCTGGTCCCTCTCTGGTGTCCCCTGTGGGGTTGGGGGAGCCTGGACTCGGTGACCCCTCAGGCGTCTTTTGCCGCTGCCATCATGGGAATCACACGTCTTCACTCAAACGCATCCCCTTCACCCCCTCACACCGCCCCGCCCCGCACAGCAGACTAAAGCGCTGCCTCCTCCTCCCTTAGCCGGAAGACGCCTCTGGAGGCTCCAGTCCCAGCGGGACCTCCAAGTCGGATGCCAACAGGGCGAGCAGTGGGGGCGGAGGAGGAGGCCTCATGGAAGAGATGAACAAACTGCTGGCCAAGAGGTGGGTGTCGAGGCTCCCCCAGACTCAGACGCCCGCCAGGAAGCCCCCGCTCTTCAGCGAGTGAGCGTCCTCGCCCGGCCCCAGGATCGCCGTCACCTGGGATGGCCACGCGGGGGCTCTGCTCCTCATAGGGTCAGTGTGAGACATCGGTCTAAAAGGAGGTGTCTGAACTCTACATCCCTCCTCGTGTCAGTGTGACGAGCATTCGCGGAAGCATCTGTCGCGTACCAGCCCTGTCCTGAGCAGAGAGAAATTCGGGGAAGATGAGGGGTATTCCTTGTGCTTAGGAGCCCCGCCTGAGTGAGGCGTGGCCCAGAGGGGGCCGCTATGAAGGGCACAGGAAAAGGAAGTGCGAAGTGGCAGGGTCCGGGGGACCTCGCCCCTAAGAGATGGAAAAGCAGCTTCATCCGTGTCGTGGTCGGGCCTGGGGCCGGTGACTCATCCCCTTCTCCGTCCACACCAGGTGTGCCTCTAGCTTGCCCAAGGCCATCGGCGCCTCCAGCTTGCCCAAGGCCATCGGCCTGTCGCTAAGGCTCTGGGTTGTTGCCCAACAAAAAGCAGAGCAGGTACAGAGATCACGAAGCTCCTTCTCAGGAAGGTTGCAGAGCTCAATTTTACTTGTCAGTGTGGCGTGGCAAAGGGAAGGCGCTAACATGGGCGACCAGCACTGTGGCTCGTGAGCACCAGAGGGCCCAGGAGCAGGCCTCACCTGTCAGAACGCTCCCTGTGGTCCAAGAAAAGCAGGGGCTGGGCCCTTGCTCCAGCCGTGACCCTCCTGCCTACTGCCACCCTCCGCGTCCTTCCCACTGCTGTCCAAGTCAGCTGACCCTGAGTGCGAGCTTCTGTGCCCAAGGTCGTCACGTGATGTCCTGTTTCACCCCTTGGGAACAATGGCCCATGACGTGCAGGTGGCCGGCCTGGCGCTTCACGGCAGGGGCAGAGCCAGCGTCTCCTGCCCGGGGCCCCCGCGCACACAGAGGGCGCCTGCCGGAAGTGGCAGAGGGAGCAGAGAGGG